CCCCAAAACCCCAAAACCCCAAAACCCCTATATCTTTAATTCATATTGCAACTAAATACCTTTTAATATCTTAAAAATGCTTAAACTTAATAGTGTTTCAATCTCTGGCTTATAACTTCCTCTCGAATGCCATTCTTTGGTGAACTTCAATTTATGACTTTTATGCTAGATAAATATTTTGTTTCATTTTTAATTTTCTTCAGATATAAACAAATAACTTCTCGTAGCTAACTTAAATTTCCTTCGATAAGTTAAAGTTCAGCTGAAAGAATTTATATACCTAATTGATGAAGTTAGATTCTTATTTTCCAATGAATATACCTCAATGGCTTGCCAGAGAGTCAATCTGTTTCCATTTAATTATTCCATTCTCCATTGCAGAATTAGGATGACCAAAACTCTGTATTTAAAAATTGAAGGATAAACTTTTAGCATTTATTATGGAAGTAACTTTCCTTATTTAGTGGTTTTTTATATAATTCCTTTAAAATGGTTAAATTAATCTAAAAAATCAAGAAACTAATAAAAGAAACTTTTATTGGCTCCATAAAGCTACAAACTTTTCAAAATGTTGGATACAGGAAACTCTTAAATTTAGGAATTATATTAGATCATTCTAAAGGAAAATGAGATCAAAGATGAAGTGGACTCAGGAAGAAGATGACTTGTTGATTCAACTTAAAGAGCAAAATCCAGATGCACCCATGAGCAACTTCAAAAAGTATTTTAAAAGGAGAAGTGTTGGTACAATGTATAACAGATGGAACATAATAAACCCATCATTCTCTAAAGGAGAGTGGGATCAATCCGAAAAAGTTCAGCTCTTTAACACAATGTTTGATGTTATATCTGCCAATATCGAGACCATTTCTCAATCTCTGGATATCCAGAGACACAAAAAAGATATTTACAAGCAAGTTTACAAAGTCAAGGAGATTGCAGCCGCTGGATATCTAGGAACAGATTACGAAGTCAAAATGGACGGAATTAAGCCTGAGAGAAGGAGGCAAACCAAATCAAGGGTCAAAATGAAAAATGAACAGCTAAAGTTTGAAGATACTTATAGTGCAATAGAAGATATTAAAAATTTTGAGAGAAATAAATAACAGTATGGGTGTTAAAGAAGAACTAAAGAATGAAATTTTACATTTTAACAAAGTAGATGTAATGAAATCTTGAAACGATGTTCCCCCAGGTTTATCACGGAAAGAATTTCTTGCTAGAATTAACTCTCTCCCTTCAGCAGAAAATGAAGAATGGACGCCTCAAGAAGACCAAAACCTTCTTCAACTCTACCAGAGTCTCGGGTCTAATTGGGATAGAATTTCCTTGCTGACAGATGCAAAGAACAAAAACCAGATCAAAGAGCGTTTCTGTAGCTTACTTCGCTGGGGAGCCTATCACTTCGATCAGCATATTCTCCCTGGGTCTCCTTTAGAATCAAGAGCTGTTGATATTTCAGATTGAGTCAAGATCCTGCTCAAAGAACTTATGGGGCCTAAAAAATCCAAGGTACTTCCAAGTAAAGTAAAATTTGAAAGCATAGCTAATATCTCAGATTCGGATGACAGCAATAACTCAGAGTTTAGCTACTAACTTCAAAATCTCACTAAAGTTTTAATAATTTGCTAATATACTTCTGAACTTATTTCTTTTTTGATTAAATTAATGAGTCGTAAACTACTTACTTGGACTGAAGAAGAGGATCAAAGATTGCTTGAGCTTAAAACTACGAATCCAGATATTAACTACAATGATTTGGCAGCGAACTTTCCTGGGAAATCATACCATAGTGTCTACAATCGGTGGAATGAATGCTTAAACCCTGATATTAAGAAAGGAAACTGGACTTTAGAGGAAAAGGAAATTTTTTATAGCTTCATTTTTGACCCAGTGGATGCTAATGTCAATACTTTGAGGGAGAAGCTTGGAAATAGACGAAAAAGAGATGTCGTCAAATATGTCAATGCTTTGAAAGATCAAGCCCAGAACTATCTGTTTGGAGCCCAAAGAAGTCAAGTTGAAAATATTGTTAAAAATAAGAGAAAAAGAGTGAAGAAAGAAGAGCATAAGATTAAGAGGGAGAGACAGCCGAGGAGGAGTCAGGCTGTGATTAAGAATGAAGATGATTTCCATGTTGAACTGCCAGAGTTTTCTGGAGATGAATCTAGTGACAAAAATGATAAGTTTGGTTATTTGGAAGCAAAGATCAATAAAACTCAAGCAACTTATTTGAAGAATAAGCAAATCTCAAAGAATCCTCTTTCAAAAGATATGTTTTTGAATACGGAACTTTGAGGTGATATTGATAAAAAATTTTGGACTAATGATAAAGATAGACAGTTGATGCTCTTGTTTACACATTGCCAAGATGACTGGGAGTTGATATCAAAAACAATAGACTTTTCAAATATTCCTGCTTTAAAAAAGAGATTTTATGCCCTATTGAAATGGATTGCAATCAAGTATAAGGAAGATCATGATCAATCTATGCCCAAAGACTCAGTGAAAAACCCTGATTATTATTTTGAAGATCCCAAAAAAGCATCAAAATCTGATTTGCAAAGACTTGTCAATGTGGCTCTAAACTTTCTTCCAGAATCAGCGTCAAAGGAGGCAGGGCTAACTAAACTCTATACTGAAAGCATAAAAAATACTAAGTTTAACTGGAACTGATCCGACAGCGAAGAAAGTGAAGATTTGTCCCCATAATTTCACTAATTTTTCTCTGAAATACCACTAATATACAGAAGTTACTTTTTATTTATGTTCTACAAATTAGGATTTACAATTACATCTAGGTCTTGCAAGGTGATTCCTTCCCTTTTGAGTCGTTTTTAGAACCAGAGGTAGAAGCGTTAGAAGAGTGATGAGAAGAAGTATCCTCAAACATTTCTGATTCTGAATTAACTTCTTCTGCGTGCTCTATTGAGGGAGACTGTGATAGAACGTTTTCTTTGTCCTCCTCTTTTTGAGACCCAAAATTTTCTTTTTTGGGGCTTGTTTTATTTATTTGGTCTTTTTCATTTTTTGGTAGCTTACATTCTTTCTCCTTGTTTTCTTCATCTTTATTTTTACTGTTCTCTTCCTGCTTAGCCTCTTGCTCCATTTCAGCATCATCTTTAGAATCATCTTTTCCTTCTGGGGTATATTTTTGGTCTTTTTCATTGGATTCATCAGCACTTAGCTGAGAATTTGAGAGGATCTCCTTTTGAATATCTTCTTGAACTTTCTCAGAAGATTTGTGGTGTAGCTTTAGTTGGTTCTGGGAAATAAAGCCTCTTTGTAACTCAGCCATATCTTTAATTGTAGTTTCTTTGAGACTATCAAACTTCTTCTTGATATTATCTTCAAGTTGTTCCAGTCTCTTAGCAACATCAGGCATTGATTTGAAAACCTCAAGTATAGAGTCAAGTTTCTTGTTCATAGTATCGATTTTTGATTGATACTTTTGTTCTCTTTTTGCAGCACTTCCTTCAGCATCTTGAGGTACAAAGTGATGCCCTTCCTTCTTTACCATAACTCCATAAGTCTTGCTATCATTATTCAGAAGGTTAGTCTTGTCTTGTAACATATTACTCTGACCATTTGGAAGGTCGTAAGTAACTGGGCCTTCTCTTTTCTGAGCCGCCAGAGCTTCAAGATTCTCTTTGCTAAGGTATCCGTCTTGAAAAAGTTCATTTGTACTTTCTTGCAGGGCAGAATTTTCATTGTAAGTGTCAAGGTTATCAAAATCCCCATTCTTTCTATCAAGTTGGCCTCCTTGGATGTAGTCAACAGCATTTGCAGCAGCTTGGTTGTCTCTGTCAAGTTCACTCTTGATGCATTGTTCAAATCTTTTGTATTTATCTGGGGAATATTCACTTTTGTAATATTCCTGTTGGGTTTCCTTTTCCTTCTCAACTTCTTTGCGGAGTCTTTCTTCATTTATTAGGCATTCATTTTCATATCCTTTCTGAAGATTGGCTAGTTGGGCTAAAGAGGGAAGCTGTTGAGGCACTTTTATGCTGCTGAAATACCTTGAGAGATGGAGCCTCCATCTCGACTCAATTCTTTTCTTTGGCAAAGAAGGAACTTTCTCAGAGAGCTTTACTGGATTAGTGGTCTTACAAGTCATTATTGCGTTAAGGATCGCCAGATCTTGCTCAGGTGATATTGATGTTTCAGGGATAATGGTTGATTTCATCAAATGCCATCTCGAAGAAATAGCCATGTGTGTATGACTTCTGAGGTATTTCTCCTCAAGCTCTTTTGATCCGATTCCATAAAAGTGTTTGCATTTGAGAAGGAAGTCATCTTCTTCTTTGGTCCATTTATTGAACTTTGGCTTTCTTACTTGAGAGTGGTATTCCGCCATTTGTTTTTTAATTTGAAGGTGTTTAGGGAGTCATATATCAAGGTCGAATACTAATTATTGTAAAAGTTTATTTTCATCCCAAATAGTTGGGAAATTGAAATTTGAGAGTTTCAACCTTTCATCTCTCCCAAGGGGTTTTGGGGTTTTGGGGTTTTGGGG